CAATTACTCTTGAAGCTTACAAGGTTTGTATAAGAGTTACGAGCTTACCAGAGGAGCTTTATCGAATGAGCATATATTCTCCCAAACTATAAACCCACAGTACTACTACTTGTCCTAGACCCTCGTGCATAATAGCTAGGTCTTTCGGACCCTTAAACAAAGCTACAATGAATTCAACGTTCAGAGAGTGCAAGCTACAGGTTTTAGGGCGGGGTTGAGGGTTTAGGAATAGGGTTTAGGGTTCGTGGTCTCGACCGTGCTGCCTAAACCCTAAACCCTAAACCCTAAACCCTAAACCCTAAACCCTAAACCCTAAACCCTAAACCCGTCGCCACTTGTTCGCAAGGCGCAGAACCCAGAGGGACCCCAGAACCCGATACCCCGGTCCCTAACCGCAAGGCTCCTAGGACTCACCTTTGAACGGCTTTGGGCACAGAGTTTAGGGTTTAGGATTTAGGGTTTAGGGTTTAAGATTTAGGGTTTAGGGTTTAGGAGACCATACTTTATGATGAGGTCAGTTTTGACATCTAAATAAGGTAACTGAACCCTTAAAGCCTAATTCTGCAAGCCCTGAAACACCAATCGCCGCTCAAGCCTAACATAATCCGCGAACCCAGTAGCGGTAAAGCGAAAGCCCTCAACACCCAAAGCCTACAACCCTATAGCAGCCTATAGCACCCCTACTTCATTCCTTAAGGGAATCCTTATACACGCACTTGAAGGCCAAAGTATACAAAATATGGGTACATGGACCTATTTAGGCCTATATAGACTATGGAGCCCCCCTTGTAGAACCCGTATAGAGCCCCTATAGAAACCCATAAACCCTCGTGACACCCAAGGCCAAAACCCTAAAACCTGCAAAGTATGTGGATATCGGGGTCTCTTGGCCCCTTCGGGCAAAACTGATCCGGAGCCTGCTGCCAACTTCCCTGCTTCAGATTCTTCGGGCTGCAAAGGGCTTCTATCAAAGGGTCTTCCCTAAACCCTAAACCCTAAACCCCAAACCAAAAACCCTAAACCCCAAACCCTAAACCCTTAACCCCAAACACCCAACCCCAAACCCTCGACCCTGAACCCTAAACCCTAAACCACCTGAAACTTAAACCCTAAACCCAAAAGACAGACGACCCCCTACAGAGCTTAAGCGGCCGGGTTTGGGGCTTGAGGTTTACAGTTCTGCGAACCGAGGCCTCGAGGTCCATGTGCTTTAAGGGTTAGGGTTTAGGGTTTAGGGTTTAGGGTTTAGGGTTTAGGGTTTAGGGTTTAGGGTACCATCAGGGCTACTCTAAAGATTCTGTAGGGTTTGGGGGCAGGGTTTAGGGTTTATGGGGTTTAGGGTTTAGGGTTTAGGGTTTAGGGAGACTTACTTTTAAGGGTTCTGAAGGTTTGGAGTTTAGGGTTTAGGGAGGGCTATTTGGGGTATGCTTGATTAGGGCTGTGCAACTTTTGGAGGAATGGACACGAATCGACGTCTTTCAGACGAAATTCTGCAGAAGCCTGAGCAATTGGACTAGGTAATTGTGGTATACAGTAAAGACATAAATAAGGGGAACTCCTGAGAGGAATGATGTGATGCTAAAATATGCCGACATCTTAAACCCCAGAACTCCCATACTACTCTCTAAGGCGGACCACACAATGCTAACCCTAACCGCCCAAGTTTAAACTGTAAGCCCATCAAACCTCAACTAAATCAACCTATCACGTGGGAATTAAGAGCAGACGTCTGGATTATTTCCGTCGGTGTATGCCCAGCTCCCTACAGTCAGTATATGCCATGGGGGATGCATATTTGGAGGTTTCTTTGGGATTCGCGGGGCCCTGCTCAGGATAAACACGACCTCCCTATTTTCGTTAGGTCTTGTGGTTGGGCGTATATTCCCTTGTCCTTCGAGGTCCGTCTACAAAGAGTACTAAGCAGCCGAAGCAGGGAGTGACAACAATATGTCGCTGGACCTCGCCCACGTGCTTTCAGCACGGGAAAGATCGCATAAGTAAGCCATGAACTACCCCATCATAGACCCCTAAACCCTAAACCCCACCATAGACCCCACGACGTAAATCCGTAGACTCTGAACCCTACGACCCAACACGTCCTTCTGGAAAAGTCGAGCTCCTGACCTGGCTTTCGGTGTTTTGACGGTTTGGGCTACAGCGTTCAGTCCTACCGCGAAGCCCTCATTGCCCGGGACCCAGAGCCCTATACCCTCAACTAGCAGCTCTCATTTGTAGGTTTATCCGAGGTAGCTCAATTAAACAGGCGACTTACTTTTTTATACAAAAAAGCCCTAAACCCTAAACCCGATGGTTTCATAGGGTGTTTGGATTAGGGGTCCCTTCTAGGGGTCCCTCCTAACCTATTGTCCCTTAATCTACGGGTCCAAGAGTCGGCTGTGGGGTTTAGGGCTTGCGTCGATTACTTGGGCGAAATTCTGGCTAAAAGTTGGCTTCTTGGGGCTTAAGGACATGTGGTAGGGTTTAGGGTTTAGGGTTTAGGGTCTAGGGATTTAGGGTTTAAGGGCATAGGGTATGGACTTGGGGTTTAGGGATCTGAAAATCTAGCACAGAGGCCTTCATAAATAGAACAAGCTCTTGGGCCGTGGTATGCTATGTACTCATAACAGGTTCCACAAGGACTTGTATCATTGATTCAACCTTGAACCCCTAAACCCCTAAACCCTGAACCCTGAAGCCAAAGCCCCTAAACCCTAAACCCTACCAAACCCTAAACCCTAAACCCTAAACCCTAAACCCTAAACCCTAAACCCTAAACCCTAAGCCCCTAAACCCTAAACCCTACCAAACCCAGGGCCCCCAAACCTGAACCTCTAATCCTTCTCTCCTGAAGCTAAACTTATGCCTGACTCCCAAGCTTTCCATGGGTTACGGTTTGTGATCGACGGGATCCACAAGAGGGGTCCTTTAAGGGATCCTTTTAAGGATCCCTATTAGGGTTCCTTTTTAGGGTTCTTGACCGGGAGTTCTAATGGGGATGTGCTTAGGGCTTCTTCTATTTGGGAGAAGCCCTAGACATACCTAAACCCTAACATCCTCAAACCTAAACCTTAAGCCCTAAACCCTACCAGTAGACGTAGACGTGTACTTTTTTGTGTCAGCTGCCAAACGTGTACTTTCTTTAGTTGCGCCGCTACTTTCTGTTCTCGGATGCTTTTTCTGAGTGTGTGTTTTCGTTGGGTTTATATAGCTAAGTTGTAAGGGCTATATCGTTGCACTTGAGGCTTGTATGAATTGGTCAAATCGGTGATTCCTTTCTCAATCCTGGAATGGGATATTACTCCGGTTGGGGGTTTATTAGATTAATTCGGATTTGGGGTTGAAACATTCGGTGATTGGGGAGTGAAGAGATGTTCGGGGAGTTGGGGGCGAACCCTTCCCCACCTTACTTCCCCCGGAACCATCCCTCGAACCCCGATCCCCAAACATTGCCGATGCCTCCACAAGCCCCAAGGCTGGTGAGATCAGGTTCACTACAGACATGTATTTCAAGTGTATACATATATATATAGTATATAATAAAATAGAATCTAAGAACTATATATATATATATAATATAATAATCTTAATAATGATGATAAGCCTGGCCAAGAACTGACCCACGATTAAGCCGAAATCCTCGAAGCCAGCCCAGCCCTAAACCCTATAAACCCTATAAACCCTATAAACCCTAAACCGACCCACGATTAAGCCGAAATCCTCGAAGCCAGCCCAGACCCCCTGCCACTGGGACGTACAGACCAAATCTGCAAAAAGCCAACCCGGGTAGCTCGATAGAATAGGGGTATTCGTTGTTCCTGCAATCACATAGGCCTGTCATTCTGTGATTTCTTCGGGAACAGACTGGCATAGTGCTATCCAGTGTCATATATATATATATATATATAGATTATAGGCTTCTAAGCATCGCCTCCTTTGTGGAATGGTTTCGCTTTTGGTGCCACCGTGAGCACTACAAGGTCCGCCCTCCCTGCCTTGCATGCATGATAGCAGCTGTGAGTTCTGCTTCAATTGAGCTTGTGTGCTGTGGCCTGGGTTGTGCATGGGCTGTGCAGTGCTTTAAACCTCCGTTCACGGCAGCTGCGAGTGCTTTGATGTGCATGCCATGTGCAAAAGCTTTGCAGCTCATGGAGCAGGTACATACAGATCCTAGGTTTCCGAAGCCAGGGGTCCACACTGCATGACATGCGAAACTCTTGGTGCCTGGAGGGTTCTGTTGATTCCCATAATGGCAAAGTTCGCTACCGTCGATTGCCTGCACATGGTATGGGCGAGAGACAAAGTCATCCAAGGTCGCCTGGAAGAGGGAGGCAGGATTGTCAGGCCAGCTGATGGTGACTCGTTTGTGAGCGAGTGAAGATAACTGCATTGAGAATCGTGCTCTCTTGGAAGCTTACATGGTGCGACAAAGGGGTGGCCGTAGTCTTGATATTCCTGATTTGGAGTCTCTGAAAGCCCAGCTGTTGTCGATGCACACGACATTTGCCATGAACAAGGCTAGGGTGAGCAGCTCTAAAAGGCCGAAGGCCTTGATGGAGGCCACTTTGGAGATGGTGCAGGCGAATGCACACTTGGATGGGAAGGCTTTCAAGCGGCTTTTGTCCTATGCCCGTAGACGATTCCTGTCGCCCCACGAACCCAAAGACCCTTGGATGCACAGTTCATGTTTTGTGAGCCCAGAGGAGTGATGGATGTGTGAGTGCATGTCTGAGAGTGCATGATGGAATGAGTGCTTGAGTGCATGCAGTGTCTGTTGCTAAGAATCCCGACTTCGCCGATTTGTTGGGGCTTTGGGGTGAAAAGGAGCCTTGGCAGCATGTATTGTGAATTGCGCCAAAGGGGCCTTTTGTGTTGCATGTTCGCATTGCAAGCTTCGGAATTCGGAGGAACTTTACGAAAGGAGTGGCAAAAAAAGCCGCTGGGAACATGTGGAGGATGCTGATGAGAAAGCCGGGGATCAAGATGCTTTCGATGAGTATGCCATGGAGTGTTCAGAGGAGGCAGAAGAAGAAGCAGCAGAATTTGATCCCCCCGTGGAGCCAACCGCCCCTGTTGTTTTGCAAAGGAAGCCCCCATTGCATAGTAACAGCTCGACTTCGATTGCTTCAGATGCCACTACCTTGATTTTGGGTGGGACTCCTTTAAAGACGCCATCGCCACGGCCAGTGGTGCCAGCAGAGGCAACACCATCCCCGCCCAGTTTGCCTAAGCAGGTTGTCTTCAAAGAAGTGCTCTATGTGGCTGAGTCCCCCCGGAAATTGGTTAAGGCCGAGCCTCGGGATTTCAATGAGGAGCCTCGGCTTGGAGATGATCTGCGACGTGAGCTGGCTGATCTTCAGGCTGCACAGCAAGCTTTGCTGAAAGCAGGAGCAATGTTGGCACCAGAGCCGGCTCCAACAGAGCCGGAACCAACAGAGCCGGAAACAACAGAGCCGGAACCAACAGAGCCCGAAGCAACAGAGCCGGAACCAACAGAGCCCGAAGCAACAGAGCCCGAAGCAACAGAGCCCGAAGCAACAGAGTCCATGGACAGAGAAGAAGCTATGAGAGAGTTGTCCTTGCTGCAAGCAAAGCTGCCACTTGGTTTATACATCTTAAGTTGCGCATGCATGTTATGTGGTGTTTTCTCGGGTACTGTATATCCTGCTGGGTTCCATGAAAGGTTGCATCTGCAGTCGTGTGGGCCGAGTGGTGGCACAGGCAGCTTGTCTACGAGTGTTTGTTAATGCAGACACACGATTTTTTGGTTGGCATCCCTTTCAGGATCAGGTGCTGCAGCAGCACTCGACACGGAGGAGACCCAGGTTGAAGGGGCCACAGCTTTGGATAAGGAAGCGAACAGGTTGGCACGGCTTAACTCCACGGGTGCTTTGGTTGAGAGTGTCTGCGATCCTCCTGCCCCCAGGCCTATACATATATAGACATGAGTTCATGACTTTTACCTGGTGTTGTATTTTCTGTGTTGCGATAGAACTCCGAGGTGCATGAATTGTTTATCGAGTCCTTATCTGAGGCTGTCACCCGTGAAGAGCAATTGGAGGCTCGCAAGAGGCGGAAGCAAGAGAAGGAAGAAGCCAAGGCTGCTGCCAAGGCAGCCAAGGCAGCCAAGGCTGCCACGGCCGACAAGGCACAGTGTAGCATGCATTGATATGTGCCAACTAGCATGATTGGGGATAACATTCATTGGTCAGGCTGCCATTGCCGGCGAAGACAAGGATGGTCAAGGGGCCGAGGCTGCTGGGAAAAGTTGTGAAGGTGATGGCCAGCTTATTGCTGAGAAGCCTGTGGAGCCGCACCCAAAAAAGCGCCGAACAGCTGCAAAGTCCAAGCCTGGCACAAAGCAGCAGCAAGCAGCCGAGGAAGCCCCGGATCTCCCCGCAGCAGTTGCCCCTGAAGCCGAGGAAGCCCCGGATCTCCCCGCAAAAGCTGCCCCTGAAGCCGAGCATCGTGCTGAAGCTGCCCCTCCCAAGCTTAAGAAGGGCAAGGATAAGGTTGGCAAGGTTCCTGGGAAAAAGGCGGCCAACAAGCCGAAGTCTGGACCAGGCAAAGCCAACGGAAAAAAGGACAAGTCAAAGGGCCAGGGGAATGGCAAGAAATCCAAGGAAGCGATCCCCGTGGCCGTGCCACGGAGGGTTTCTTCGAAGCGAGGCCCGAATGAGGCTGCCAAGCCGAAGTCCGAGCTTCAGCTTGAGGAGGCCTTCAGGGCCTATCTAGAGCAGATTGTGTGCCGTTGGAATCATGCACTGCTTGCCATGCCACCGCTATTAAACACGTCTGGGGATATTGTGTTGCTACCATGTTGCATCCTGAATTTCCTTGCAGGAGAAAGCCGAGCTGAGAAAGATCGTGGTTTCCACGAATGGGACCCTGAAGCATTATGTTATCATGGTCTACTGGACTCGTCCTGGTGTGGGTATCAAGCTGCTAGCAGATGGGAAGCAGGCTCGTAATTGTGCTTGTTCTTGATTGTTTCTCAAATACCCCGGGCCGTCATCCCCTATTGTATTCTCTATACATGCAGGTTCAGTACCTGGGCGGCAAAGGCATCGGCATTTCGAAGATTTTGAATGCTGCCATCGACTGTGTGGCTTGCTCGAGATTGGGTTGCTGTTTCAGTCGTCTTTCTGTGCTGCCTGGAGAGGTTTGTGTGCCTGTGCATAAGACATGTTTTCTTTATTGAGGTCCGGGTGATGGACGAGGACCCGACAGCCCTGAAGCAGATCAACCAGTATGTGTTCAAACGAAAGGAGATGCTCAAGAAGCTTGCAAAGGGTTCCTAAGTGCACAAAAGAAAGCCGCAGCTGAAGAAGTTTGCACACGTTTCCCAAGGGGAAAGTTTTTGGCTGGCACGCCATGTCTGAGCCATGGTCTCACGACGTGCATACAAAGCCTGTAGGGCTATGTGCTTAGCCGGTGTCGGATTGAACCCATATAGACCCCCTACATCCTATAAACCCTATATTGCCGAGAAGCCCTAAACCCCGAAACCGTCGATCCCAACTTAGCATATATACTTAACTGTATTCGTTCGGCTCCTTCTTTATCCGAGCACCATGCACATGAATGGGAAACAGGTGTGAAACACGTCTATGTTTCCATGCCTCGCTGGCTTAGAGCACAGCCATGGGGATTTAGATCGATCGACATGTGTGCTGCGACAAATCAACACGTGTCTTTGCCTGCTGGATCATGCAGAGAAGTTCTTTATTTGCATGTGTGGCTGTCTGCACGACCAGAGCTTTTCGCTTTAAAACAGAAACATTTCCCTCGACGCAGGTTCTCTGCTCATCGATGCCGGTGCCGAAGTCGCTCCAGGGGCGAGTTTCCGAGGCTGCTTGTGGCAGGGCAAATGCCGATGTTCGTGGGCCCGCCTGTGTTTATGGCATGTGTTGTGAAGGCCAGCTGGGCATTCGTCTGCTTGATCGATTAAACATGATTTTGCTTGGGGTTGCAAGCCCAGGCAATGGATTCCCCGCAAAGACCGACCTAGCAATGTAGCAATTATATTAATATACACCTTAGGAGCCTGAACTCCAAGCTGCATGTGGCTACATATATATATATATATACATATATGTGTTATATATGTATATATCTATACAAACTATATAATTATATAAGAGATAGATTTAATCGTTCTAGAGTTTAGATTCTATAAACCCGGAACACCCGAAGCCACATGCAAGCTCTCTCTCTCTCTCTCTCTCTCCGTCTTTTCGCTCTCACAGGCTCTCTACCACTTTGGAAGCCATACCTCGATCGATGTTTGAAAAGGCAAGTCCCCCAAATAGTATATAGCAAATCGCCGTAACGATGACATGTGTCATTCGAACTCAACACAACAAAGTAGCCTTCGTACATGTTGTGTTGTACCCAGAGGAATCTTCGAAGCCACCTAGCCCACGTTTCTAAGGTCGTAGTGTAAAAGGAATAGGTTGTGTCGCTTCCCTGCAGGGTTCTAAGGATGCCTAGATAGAGTTTCAATCGGGGGTCTGGGGTTCAGGATTGCTCTGGCCTTGGCACACGCAGGGGGGGGGGCCTTCAGGGCTTTTGACTTAAGAACGGTTTGTGGAATTTTCGAGATATTCTTCGATCGTTTCAAGACTTTTGTTGTTTATACGTTCGGTCAGAAGATTATGTAGATAAGTAATTTGTTCAGGTTATGTGGGCAGGTCTATATCGGGTTATCTTTGGATTCCGTTTGATGTTGTAAGGGCTTCTGAGATTTGAAGGGTATTGCGATGTTGATGGACAGTCTTTCCTATTTTCGTGGGTCTTGCTGTGATTCACGGAGAGCTCACGCCGGGCTCGGGTGTCAGCTGTCTCAGCTCTGGCCTGCTCACCAGTGCATGCAGTACAAAGGCTTGTTCGGCCGTGCGAGTTCATACTAACATGCATGCTGTGGTGTTGCTATTCTCTGTGCGATCTTATGTAGATGTATGCAGATCGATACATACTTTTCACGTATACTGTACACAGCTACTGTGCAGTTCAATTAGGAGCACACTACTGTGCTTCAAGAATATGCGAACATACCGCCTAGGCCCTATAAACCCTAGAAGCCCTTAGAGTACTAAACCGCGCATAGCTCAAATCCAGTGCAACGTTGACTCTGAGCCTTTTTTATCGCCGCCTCTTCAAGCTTCAGATTCTCGAGGTGGGCCTGATTGCACTCGAGCGATCTATGTACCTGAGACGGTTGTGTCGTCGTCTGGTGGTGTACTATAATACATAGCTGGGATGGTGTCGGATAGTGCTCTGGCAGGCTCTGATCTTTGCAACATCGCTGCTGTACTGGCCGGAGAATGTGACTATTCCTGCAAATGCCGCTTGGTCGAGGGGTGGGGTCGCATCGATTGCAAGTTTGCTTACTCTCCATAAACCAGACATGTCTCTACTGAGTCGATCCAACGGTTGGAGTACTTCCCTGGGGATGCCCAAGCAACCCGGCATGTGGCTGTGAGTGTCTGGGTACAGAGCCCGAAAATTTGATGTTCGGTTCCAGGTGCACTACAAGCATCATAAGGTTATGGACATCTTCCTACCTGCCGGCATGTTGCACGCTGCTGAGATTCGCAGCATCGCCAGGGCAGCTTCCCAGAGCCTTAGCTGGTACTGTGTACTATATATACAGTATGGTTGTTTTTGAGGCCTGGGCTGGCTGTGTTATCTTGGGGCTGGCATTCTGTGTTTACATAGCAGGAGAGGGTGCCGTGCAGGGGACATATGTTTTGAAGACTGTCATGGCGGCTAAACAGTTGCCTTGTTCGACACTCCTTGGAAGCCTCTCGATCTTGCTCTGATCCATGCATGACTGTAGAGCATGTGACTGGTATATTGCAACAGCATGATTCACCCAAGTCTACCCGATCCTAGGCCCGATTCACTGGGCGACCGAGGAAGTATCCCCCACCATTTCAAGCTCGAGTGGCTGCACTCGTCCGCCAACCAAAGTACGCCGACGAGGCGGGTTTTGATCGGGCCGCAGCTGCAGCCTTGGATTGCTATACGGGTTTGGGTTTATGGAGCTTCAAGGGTTGAAGGGTTTGCAGGTTTTAGGGATGTGTGTGCACCCACGCACCTACTCTGTTTATGTACACAGAGAGATATATGTCTATGCGACACAGACATTTGCATTTAAATTCTTCATATGTACACACCTCCTTATACATATATATGTATATACATATGCAGTCATATAGACTTACACACATGCTTACTTACTTGCCACGCATGCACATGTACACACACATATACACATCATTCGCTTGTCTTACATCATGCTTTCGTCTGCACAACAATCTCTTTGTCTTTTCTTGTGTTTGTGGCTGTGTTTCCCCACATGGCTGATGTACGCATGCTCTGGATACACCCAGGGTTCAGTCATTGCTGAACATGACGAACTCCGTGCACTCGTGTACCATGATGATCAGGATTTTTGGTTCGCCTGCTAGCTTTCTAGATGGAGATAGATCCTCGTAGCTAGATTGAGACTGTAGCTCGAACAATGCAAGTGCAGAAAATCTTTATCTAGACAACACTTCACCGACTTTCAGCTATTCGTGTCAGGGCTCAGGATTCCGGTTTGTAGGCTGCGGTTAAGTATAGTTATATATATACACACTTATACACGCAGATAATTATACAGTCTTTAAACACCGCCGGACTTAAGAGCTAAAAAGCCCGAAACCCCAAAGCAGCTACATCCGCAGAGAGCCCCCCTAGAGCGACTAATTGAAAGAAAGGCCCAACGGGCCCACCAAATTGTTGTCTGAATCCTCTAGCACAACTGACAATTCAATACCTCTGCCAAAGTCAGATAACAACACCGATTAAACTAAACTCTATAAGCCCTGTAGAAACCCTACAGCCCTGGACCCTATATACCTAAACCCTCCCGAACTTCCCAGGCCAACGACTCATCGACTTCCCGTGAGGCTGCACCGAGCTTCGGGGTCGAGGTTTAAAGTATCTTTATGTACTGTATATATGTAATATCGATCTGTATATGTATATATATATATATACATAGGGTCCCTATTTTGTGTATATACATACATATATATATATATATATGTATATAGTTATGTGTATATGGTTTTAGGATTTGGGCTTCTGGGGTTCCGACAGGGTTTTGCTTGGTCATATGAGGATGGTACGGGGTTTTGCTTGAGTTTCGTCGGGTGTGGTGGGGCTCCGAAGGGGCGGTTTTGGGTTAAGTAAGGCCTAAGCTTCGATTCTCTCTCTCTCTCTCTCTCTCTCTCTCTCTCTCGCTCTCTCTCCCCGTCTCCATCCTTCTTGACAGATCATATACTCATTGAGTAGACAGAAAGACCGGCATACCCCCAATGTCATCCCGGAAGCCCAGACTTAGTCATTGGGTTGGGTTTCGCAGGGCTGTGCTAGGCCTCGACCCTTCTAGAACACATCGATCATGGTAAAGAAACAGGAGGAGCGATCGATGTACCCACAATATTGCTTCCCGAAGCTCATCTCCCATGAGTTTACTGCATATATTACATATATATA